CTTCGCCGCGCAAGTTGCCGCGCGCATCTTTGGACGCACGTAAGTTCCGTCTCCGTCTCGTCTCGGAACGGTGTGCAGCGCAGCCGCCTATCGCAGAAATACAATGGTAGAATGGAGCACGCAATTTGTGAGTCAGATTTGCGATGGATGGCGGGATGGTTTCAAACTGTCTTTGCAGAACATTATTTCTTCTTTAAATCTTCACACGAATACGTCCTACACGAGTATCCTATCGAGTAGAGGAAGGGGAGGGGGGAGAAGGGGCAAATGCGGTGCTAGCGGTTTTTGACACCGCGAGATAACTGAAAAAGTTTGCCGCGCGCGACCCAGGGAAGTGGGAATTCGGGGAGCTGTCCGCCTCCCGGCATCAAACGTGCTTGTTCAATCAGTTAAATGATTGTAGCACACTTCAGCCTTGTAGATAGGCTATCATGCTGAATGGCACTCAACTACAGTACTCCAATATTTAATATGTAAAGCCTCTTCTTGCATAACGTAGACTAGGATACAGTACTGCACAAAGAGAATCATGCATTCTTTGATATTTTCACCTTGTTGGTATCCTCCTCATTGTCGTCATCTGCCGGGTCTTTGGATCTTTTTGATGGTTCTTCAACTGCCGTTTTATTTCCAATAGGGAAATCAATTGGTCCGCAATTCTTTTTGTACTGTTTACAGGCGAAATGTTTCGGGTACTTCGCAGCACATTTCCCTTTCCATTTTGCACAGTTTTTCTGAGTATTTCTCGAATTGTTCCTCTCTTTGTCGTCGTCAACCAGCTCTTCGGACTTTCTCGATGATCTTTCATCCGTTGAACTCTTCCCGATGTTGAACTCTTCCCGATAGGGAAATCAATTGGTCCGCATTTCCTTTTGTATTGTTTACAGGCGAAATGTTTCGGATACTTTGCAGCACATTTTCTTTTCCATTTTTCGCAGTCCTTCCGAGAGTTTTTCGGAGTCTAAATGAAGGAAAGCTCAAATTACCATAATAGGTGCCAAAGTACAGACAGAGAACTAAGGAGATCGACTTTAAAAAGTTCACTCACTTACCCACCTTACTATCTAATTTTTTCTCCACTTGTTCGCTTCTTGGACAACTTCGTCGGTACAAAAGGCAGTAGCCGTGGTATTGAGACTGGGTCATGCAGTTGTTTTCCAGTGAATCACATCCAAGGTCAATAGCAGTGAATGTCTGAAATTCATGTGTATAGGGCTTGCCCAGTAGAAGATGCGAAGGTAGGAGAAAGCTCAACCTCATAAGCCCCAGGTAGGGGTCTGCAAGTAATAAGGAGGG